TTTGAACCTTCAATAGGAAGAGTAGTTATTTCAGCTGGAGTGGAAAAATCCATCTGCTAATTTGCTCCATTTGCTACAGTTCCCATGACCCTTCTGCCTAAATAGCTGAAAATTCAGGAAAAGTAATGAGAATGAAATGTAAAGGGAATGAAAACTACTCCTTTTAACATTTTCAAGTGTTAATGCCAGAGCTTGTAATGCTCTAAAATGCCAAGCCACTGCTGAAGGTTGCTCACCAAGCATTAAATTCCCCATATAACAGTAACTTGAAAAATATTGCTGTTTCTCTTCACAAGTTCTGATAACAAACATGCCAGAAAATAGGGGTGCTTCTGCAGGTCTCAACAGATATAAAAAAATATACTGAGCTACATCTGAATAATGCAAACTGCAACATACAACTCTTCCTTGCACATCTGGGAAAAGAGAGCTAGGAGTTTGAAAGGTACAAGTGTTTGGTAAAGTTTGAAAGTTATATACACAACAGAAAAGGAATGGGAGAAAAATAATGTACCAATTATGAATATAAACTTAGAAAGTCGTGATGTCAATGCTAAAGGGAAAAATCAAGGGAGCTCATGAAGGTATGTAAACAAGGAATAACACGACCTAAGGAAGATAGGAAAAAGAAAGTAAGCAAGGCAGAGACCCAAGAGGCAGAAATTATTCAAGGTATCAGGACACACGGGTACATTTGCTGATAACCTCCTACTGCCACAGCTCACTGTGAAAATAGCACTGCAGAAGCCATTGGCATTGCTGTCCTACATTTTTGAGGAGAAATGGGGATCAAGTGAAACTGCAACCATACTTGGAAGAAGCCCTTAACTAAATTCCTGACAAAAAGGACACAGCTGCTCTGACAGAAAACTGATGTAAAGGAGCACATCTGCCAGGTTTGCTTCTACACTGCACTGTCAAATTCCAGAAAGGATGATTCAGGAGGACTGGAGTTACAATAAATTAACTGTAATAGGATGATGAGAGAAAAATATAGCACTTAAGTATATGGTTTTCAAGGAGATGGCACTTGGCATTCTTCAGAATACTTTTTGTTATTTTATGTTCTGTTCTACTGAAGAGCTCTTGCTTTTTTTTTTTTAACTAGACCCAACCATGTTTTTTTTCTTAGACCCAACCATGAATTCCACTGATGGGCTTCATCTCGGGAGAGGAGCAGCATTTTACAAGCAGGTGAGATACCAGTTAGCAATTCGGTTTTTTATTTTGCATTCATTGTTTATTTTATACCAATAATCTACAGCCCAAATTCTATTCAAAAATTACCTATATACTTATATTAAAAATGCAGGTAGTCTCACAACATTAGTGTCAGAATTATAAATCAAAGATGCTTTCTGGGATTCTGAGCTCTTGAGAAATCATCTCTCATTTCAAATTTTTAACATATTCAATATCGAAACTCGATCTCATTGAAACAAGTCAAGATTCTACCTAAAAATCCTTATTCCCTGCACACTTATGAAAAAAAAAAATTAAAAAGAGCCTTTAAAAGTATATGTTGAGAGTTGGATAGAAAGGAAAGATGGATTCACTCCCGAAGCCAAAAGTCATCTAGAGCTGCAGTCAGGAGCACTAAAACAAAGAGCCAAGAATACCACTGAGTTCTTTGTTTCTTCTCAAAACAAGTCATGGTTCACTTTAATCAGCTGCAAAGATCATTTCTGAAAGGGCAGAATTGGTAAGTAGGTTTTCATACACTTATCTTCAGCATCAGCCCTAAACAATTTAGCTGAGGAAGTAATTCCAGGAGGAAAACAGCAATAGTAAGCTGCTATAACTTCTGAAAATTAACTACTTAGAGGGATGTTTTGTAATAATATAATACCGAGGCTTGCTTTTTTCTTCCACTAAAATTAAATGAATAGAGGAAATCATCCACTTTATGAGAATACATCTTTTAAAATAAATTCCAAACTGGTTAGTTCTCTTTGATGTTCCAGTAATTCACATTAAAGACATAGGTAAGAAGGGAATGTAAAAACGAGCATTTCCCCAGTTCGAAGGGAATGTAAAAACGAGCATTTCCCCAGTTCGTCTTTTCAGCATGTTATGCAATTCATTTTCTTCAGTCTGACATTGTTTAACTTTCTGCTTGGATGCACAGAATTAAATCCAAGGAAAATAAAGAAGCTATTTCAGAAAAAGAAAAGAGTTACATAGATTAACTTAATTTCAATGTACAACAAATGTCCCATCCACATTACAACAGAGTAGTTTTCCTACAATTCAGACTTGGAACAAAGCAGAGACAAAATTTCTGATGCTGGAAAAGGACACATTCCCTGGGTTTGCTTGGGCAGGACAGTGACCCATGAAGAGAATCATGGAGACAGGAGCTGTGATGCAGCTTGCTCTTCTGTGAGCTGAAAATGGAGTTTTCCCTGAGAAGGCAATGTCTCAGGTACAGCTGTCAGCCTCTGGGCCACTGAGGGATGGGTGTGCAAAGTGCTTTTAAGACAACTGTGACTTTCCATCCCAGTGAGCTATTGCAGATGCCTTAAGGGAATATCAGGTCCTTTTAGCCCTGCTGAAGTAGTAAAAATTAATGTCTAAAAGCTGATTCTGACCTTGGTCTGAGATTTACAGAACAGCACACAGTGAAAGAACAGGCTTAATTTCTTGATAAACAGGATTGTGTCTTCAGTGAGAGAGCTCAGCTCAATTAGTCCAGATACATATCTCTAACTGTCTTGTCCTGGAAAACTTAAAGCACATCTGAATAAATTCTCTCTAATTTAAGGTGAATTAGAGTACAAGGAACTACATATCTCTAAAAAATCAATGTATAAGATCCACAAAGATGCTTTCTCTCATATTACCAGAAGAAGAAAAAGGTTCCCTCTCTGTTTTTACAAAACCATATTGAGAGATGGATGCCAGGCACGGAGAATGTTTTCTGTCACCAAGTAAAGACAACCAGGCATCTCCAAAGCCATCTTGATTTGTAAAGCTCCTGTGCTATCAATCCCTAACATTAACCCAGGAGAGTTTGTCAAGAATGAACCTGGATCTGTATAGGGCCAAAAAGCCTTCAAACTATTAATACCTAATCCAAAATACAAAAAAAACCTGCACGTCCAAGTAGGGCCAGTAGGATTACACACACTGTTAAGGTACCTTTGTGGGTCTTCACAAGACCAGGCTGTAGCTCACTGCTGAGTGAGTTCAGTTTGTTCAGCCTGGAGAAGAAAAGGCTTTTGGGGAACCTTAGAGCAGTTTCCAGTGCCTAGAGAGGCCCTACAAGAGAGCTGGAGAGGGACTCTTAATCAGAGAGTGTAGTGATACATAAAATTGCTACTCCCTCCTTTTTTTCCCTTTTGCCAGTCTTGCCCTGATTTTCCTCAGAGCTCTTGTTAGGGAGCTGCATGTGCCAGCCTGGCTCTTGGCAGGTTTAGGTTCTGGCCAGTCCATGCCAGGGACCAAACAGAATCTGAAAGTCACAACATGGTGGCCGGTGCTTCCCCTTCTGTGGTTTCCTTGCTTTCACCAGCTCAGCAAATGTGGGCATTCCTGACAATGCCCTTGTTATGATGCACTGATTTTCTTTCTACTTCCCCATTATGATTCTCTTATTTTTTTACAGTTTCCCCATCTGAAGCCCATCTATGTGATCCCAGCATTGCTGAGTCCTCCCAGAAGCCACGTATGCTCTCCCTTCCCAGAAGAGAGCCCCATCCCCACTGATGAGACCCCAAAGTCCACGTGGAGAGCTGGGAGTGGGTGCTGCCAGAGAAGCAGGTGAGATACTCCTGTGCACGTCTCCCTCACAAAAATGAAGCATCAGGTCCCCAAGGAGGATGGTGAGTGCAGAACATCCCCCTGAGCACCTGCCAAAGCAGATTTTAGCTGATGCCCAGCTGTGCAAGCAGAGGCCTCTGAACTGTGAAAGGTGCTCTGACTTGTCCCTCATCCAGTTCCTGATATTAACCCCTGTGGCACCCCAGCACAGTTCTGGCGGTGACACTGGTGCTGTCTCCCAGCACTGTTCAGGCTGTGCCAGTGAGCTGACAGTGCCAGCAGGACAGCCTCAGTGTCCACAAGAATGGATTGGTGAGTCCCCAGAGCTGACACTCCATGGCTCCTAGCCCCATACCTCCAACAGTCCCTGGAACATCCCTCTTTTCCCCTCCCACAGTACCAGGCCAGCAAGCTGAGCCAGACAGGGAACAATGAAGAGGGATTCTACAAACTACAATGAAGAGGGATTATACAAACTTTCCCCTGATAACCAGCAGGAGCTGGCACAGTTGGCACAGAAGGTGAGGTTAGGGGTGTTCATGACCCATGCCTGGCAGTGCACAGGCCAACAACCCACCAGGGATGCTCTGGTAGCCATCTAAACCATCCACCAGATCCTCATTTACCCAAAAAGACTCATTTCTGCAGAAATTAGGTATTTTGAGAGGGTACACGGTTTTATCAGTTGTTCCTGTGGCTAGTGGTTCTCACTAGCCAGGCAGCCCACTAGCAGTGCTGGGCAAGAGGTAACCAGGCTCCCCTGGGCAGTGTGGCACTGACACCAGCTGCCTCTGTGCTACCCCCTCAGGGGCTGCACCTGCACCTGGGGGCCACCTCAGACACACCACTACAGCAAAATTCTTGCTTGACAAAGGTAGGATATAATCAATTCCTAAAGACCCCAAGAATGCACACCCAGAAAGCAAGCTACAAAACTTGCTACTTCCTCCTTTTTTTCATATGTCTCGCCTTGTTCTGGTTTTTCTCAGAACTCTGGTCATGTCCCAGCCTTGCTCTCAGCCAACAGTCATTGCAGCCATAGCAGGGCTCATGTCAGGGGGGCTTGGGCTCTGGCCATTCCCACCAGACACACAAACGGAATCTGAAAGCCGCTGACCTGTAGCCAGCACTTCCCTTTCTGCAGTTTCTTTTCCTGGTATGATACATTAATTTTCTTTCTTGAAGCCCTGTGCCCACCCAGTGGTGAGGCTATAAAAGGAGATCAGCAGGAGCAGGGGCTACCCTGCAGGGGAGAGCCCTACAGACACCCCAGCTCCAGCCTTGCTCGTGGCTCCCTAAGCCCTCCCAGCATCATGAGGATCCTTGCAGCCTCCCTGGCTGTTTTGCTTCTTGTGGCCATCTGTTCCCTGGCTGAGGCTGATCACAGAGTCTCCAGGAATGCTGCACGTTCCAAGAACGATGGTAGGTTTTCCTTCCCCAGGAGAGAGTCCCATCCCCATTGATTAGAACCTCATGTCCATGGAGAAGGCTGGGAGCAGATGGCCATCACCAGTGCAGGGACTAAGCCTCAGAGATGGAGGTTTTCAGGGGGTGTGCCTGGAGGACACAGCACAGGTGATGGCAAATCCCCTGGGAGCCACAGGCAGAGCCTCTGCCACAGTGTGGAGTCTCACTGCGCCCATGTCTCTGCCCTGACAGAAACCAAAGACATCTCCTGCTGCTTCAGTTACAGTTCATCCCGCATTCCACGCAGAATGATCCACTATGCCTACAGGACCAGCGCCTTCTGCTCAATGCAAGCCGTGGTGTAAGTACCCAACATTGCCAGGGTCCAGGGTGCACCAGCCAGGGCAGCACCCCAAGGGTGTCCAAGGGTGCCCAGGATGGGGAAGGGCATGGGCACGGACAACCAGGGTTCTACCAGCAGGACCTAGCATAGGCACCCTGATGCCCTGGCTGAGTGCCTCAACACTATTTTTTTCCCCAACAGCATGGTCACCAGGAGAGGGAGGCAGGTGTGTACAGACCCCAAGGCTCTCTGGGTGCAGAAATACCTGGAGGACTTGGAGCTTCTGGAGAACTGACTCTTCCCTGTGTGATAAATGTGATTCGTGCTAATTAAGTTGTAACTATATTAACAAAATTGTATTTAGATCAATAGAAGACAATTGTTACAGAGTGAGGGGGGGAGAGGGGTGAGACAGGATAAAAGA